TTGAAAAGAGACCTTCCATTCTCCTTCAGTTGTTTTGGTATCTTTCAACACATCAAGAATACCAGGGGGTAAAAAAGGTATCAAAGAAATATAGTAAGGCTAAAGATGCAATTAAGAATGTCAAGCATTCTAAAACAATTTTTAAAGTACATGCAAAGAAACTCTACCCATATATCATCTATCCATCTCTCTATCCATTGACCAATTAATCAACTATTCAGGATAGCCACTCCCAATTTATGCCAAAGGTGTGAAAAATAGAGGAATATACTGATTGACCTAACCCAATCTGGAACAGAAATTTAAAGGAGAAAATAAGGAATTGAACTTAACAAAATCATCCTATGTGAACATATAAATATACCTCAGGAAATTCCACCTTTATGTATAAGGAGAAAGCCCTAATTAAAATAAATAAATAAATGATAGAAAGGAAGATCAGTAAAGGAAGAAGAATAAAGGGAGGGAGGAGGGAAGGGAAAGGGACCAATAGGGTCTGAAATGGTATAAATCAAATTCCATGTCTGTATGATATTATCAAAATGAGCTCAACTATTCTGCATAAAAGAAGAAATAGAAATTCTCTTGAAAATCTGAAGATGTAGCAGAACTTGAATTGTAAGAAGTGTTGAATATTTAATATTTTAATGATCTTTAGACTTCAGATAGATAATTTGCATACCTCTATTAATCTCATGTTGTTGCCATTTTTCAATTAAGTATTTCTTTATATTTTCAGAATTTTTTTCCTTCTTCTTTTCTACACAAAATGAAATTTTCATGAATAAGCATTTTTTTTCTATTAGAATGTCTCCAAACAATTTGATTGTTTTATTTTGTACATACAGTTGTGTTTTTGTTTTGTTTTGTTTTCTCTCCTGTCATGTCTTTTGCCTCTTCTTTTTCCCCCTTAATGACAGAATTGCTATAGATCTTTGGGTGGTAGTCTAGAAACCACTGTTGATTTAAATTTACATATGAAGGCAAATTTTTAATATACTGTTAGGCATTTGGGAACAGATCCTAGGAAATATGATCATCCCAAAGAAAGATATAACAGGAAGCTAGGATAACTGAACCTGAAGCATACTCATTTACAAGGACCATTTTAAAGACACTGCATATAATTTTGTTTTTATAATTTTATATTATTTACCTTAAAGAGATTTCTCAAAGGATATGTTTCAAGATGTACAATTCATAGTTTATTTAGCTGTTTTTCACCACATGTGTGTGAATCTGCCATTAGTCTTTAGCCCCAGGCACAAAATAATATTTTTTTTTGTTTAAAAGGATAATTCCTCTCCCTCTTTTCTTAAAGACAATTTCCTAATTTTCTTTATTTGAAATATGTTTTTTGGTTTACATCATTGTAGTATAATTTGGAAGTTACTATCTTTG